TAAATAAATAAATAAATACATTGCTGTGTGAAAGCTTGTTTGGTGGATTTTTTTTGTTGGTTAATAAAATGAATTCACGCTTTATAATAAAATAAGTGTTTATCACACAAAACTCTACAAAAATCTGCTCTACTGTTCTAAAAACTCTTCTTCAAAACTTAAAATAACAGCAGTTGAGAAGTAAAAAGATGATTACCTCTAAGCAAACCGAGTCTCTCCGTGATGTGCACAATTACAATGTACTTTACCTTGAGCTTTTATTGTAAAGCTGTGGATAATTAGACTGTCGCTTTTCATAATACAGATCTCACTTAGCCCATGTAGATATAATTAAAGTTCACCATACAATTTCCCATCTTATACGTCCTAGATAATGATGTGCAGTCATTATGTCACCGATATTCTCAGCTACACTTTAAGGATCATTAAAGCAGGATAAAAAGAGCGTCACAGGACATCAGCAGGATTAAAGGTTACCTTCCTGAAGACAAAGGCTTCTGCGTTGTAGACCGGGTTCAGGCCGTTGTTCATCACCATCCGAGTGCGAAACTCTTTGCGAATGGTGTCGGTCGGGAGTCCATACATGTCCACTTCTACATATGTGCCGATCTTCTTATCTGACAGGAACTGCCCTGAGATCACCTGAGACACAAACACTGTTTCCATTTATCTACAACAACAAGAAAAAAGTCTAATGGAAATGCATACAATTTCACAAAACCCCAGTGCACAGTTGAAGTCAATATTCCTATTCCTCCTGTGAGTTATCAAATATATGAGCAATATTACACAAGTAGCAGTGCGATATGGCTGTATATCAGCACTGGTGGGAGGCGTGTGTTGGCAAAAGGCTGCAGACCGAGTGCCTTACTGTGCGTTCACACAGAAAGCGGTAAGAGCGTCCAAGGTCAAAATTTGCTACATTGATCTCGTATTTACAGAAGCCGTTGCGGCATATCAGTTACATTCCCACATAAAACATGCTTTCTAGCGTGAAAATGTTGCGCACTTCTTATCAAATGCATTTAACAATGGGTGATCAAGTTGCATGTGGTGTGGCTTTCCTCCACTTAATTATTCAAACTGTAGTGTCTCTCTGCTTGTATGTGGGCGGAGGAATACACAAATGTGAAGAGGCTTTTGTGTGTTGTTAGTGGCAAAATATTTCACGGCTATCAGTCAATCAGATTCAAGAACCAGAAAGAACTGTTGTGTATATATATATATATATATATATATATATATATATATATATATATATATATATATATATATATATATATATATATATATATATATATATATATATATATATATATATATATATATATATATATATATATATATATATATATATATATATATATATATATATATATATATATATATATATATATATATATATATATATATATATAT